ACTGCCCTGGTTCCCCGTCAGAAGCTTTCCCTGAGGGCTGTGCAGAGACAGAGGGCAGAACCTCTCAAGGCCACCGCAGCACACAGCGCCAGCGGCTCAGGCAAGCTGGGGGGAGAGACGGGCTCAGGCTTGGGCTTGGTGGCCTGGGGAGGTGGAGTGGCCAGAGAGAGGGGCTGGACGTGCAGTGAGGGAGGGGCACACATGCACACAGGAGTGAGGAGCCGTCACATGACGGACAGAGACAGAGGATGCCCTGGCCACTTCCCGGGCAGAGGCCCCTTCCTGGGCAGAGGCCACTCTGCACTTCTCAGGTGGGACAGAGAAGCCCTGCCTTCAGCCCAACTACATGCACCTCCCCAAACCCCACCTATTCTAATGGCATGGCAGGCCAGGCTCGGGAACCCCAAGTTTTCCCAAGGGAGAGGTGGGCGTTGGGTGCACGGGCTGCCAGGTTCCCTGAGAGCTGTTTAGGACATGAGCAGGCAGGAGGCCAGGGGGAGGAAGGGTGCTCTAAAAATGGTCAGGGTGCTCAGTGCAAAGGACAGAGGGGACCCCGCCCCCCCCCCCATTCAGCTCCTGATCCACCAGGCTAGTATTATATCCTGGGTTAGCAAGTGAAGTTTAGGCCAAGGTAAGAATATCGAATTGGTTCTTGTGTGGTAACAATTCTGCTGGCCATCCAGAGCCCTGGAGGAGACTGATCCAGTGCAATACAATCTGTGATCCACTACTGATGTCTGCCATAGGCATAGGCAGGGACAGTGGAGGCAGGAGTGTCGTCATTTGACTGTTCTTGGTCTAGCATTAATCTAAAGGGACGCAGCTGCTCTAGAATACAACAGAGAATGGGTGGCAGGCGGACCCAGGAGTGCCAGAGAAAGACATTGGCTATGTACTAGAGGTGCTCAGAAGTTTCTGGCAAAGGAGCTATCACTTGTTTTCTTTGTCAGCGCTGTAGAGAATCTGCCACTTCCCTAAGGACTGCATGTCACAAGTCAAGGGTCCCAGTTGTGTGGCAGGAGCCTCAACACTGCCCGGCAGCCAGCCTCCTCGGCCTCCCTGCTCCTCCCTGCTGGTTCCAACTCCCCAGCACTGGCCTGGCCAGCTCCTATGCTGGGTTGGTAGGATGCAGGTCCCACGCCCGGGTCCTCGTCCAGGCTGCAGTGCGGATGTCAGCACCTCGGAGCAGCCTGCCAGACCTCGCCCTCTCAGACAGGCCCCGGCCCACCCTGACGGCACGTGATGGCCTCCGTGCGGTCCCCAGGAAGCAGGCTCTCCATGCGCTGACCGTGTGTGCGTGCTGGGCTGTCTATCCACCAGTTCACTGCCACACGGCGGGGTCCTACCAACGCCGGTGAGCCATGAAAGTCGCCCTGCCTGTCCGGCCTCAGTTTCCCCCGCCACCTAACAAGCAGGAATCCTCGGTCTCATGACTGTTCCCTGGGCCACACTGAGGAGGACCCACGCTCTGAACCCCACGGAGATGGCACCAATAGAAACGTTATGGGGCTCCGTTCCTAACTCGTTCCACGAATGAGTGCACATTTGCACAACATCTTGATCAAGCCCGACCCCTGTGGCCCTCCAGATGGGGACACTGAGGCCCTGAGAAGTCCAGTCCCTTGTCCACGGTCGCTCAGGTGGGAGGTAGGCAAGTCAGGACTCGAGCCCAGCCCAGCTGGCTCCAGAGCTCACGCTCCCGGCCACTTCGCCACCTGCCAGATACAGGCTGAGTGAGACCTGTCCTCTGGGGGCTGCAGCCATGCCTGAGAGCCCCCAGCCCATGGCAGTGTTGGGGAGTACCTGAGTCTCTCAAGGTAAACCTCACCCCTTCCCTGTCCTGGGTCAGGCCCAGGCGGGCAGCTCCTGGTGCCCCTCCCCAGCTCTGGGACAATGAAAGAAGAAGAAGGACAACGGCTCACACCCATCCCTCGGTGGCCACTGCCCTCCCCGCCCTGGCCCTCCTCAGGAGATGCCAGGCTCACTCCAGGCCCCGAGAAGACCTGTTGCAGTGAGCAAGCTCGTCCCTCCCTGAACATCACGGCGGAGACGACTGCTCGGGTCTGGGGTCTCCCTGCCCAGGTCTGCCCCACGCTGCCACCCCAGCCATGGCCCAGGCCCTTCCCTGAACCTCAACCACTCAGCCATCGCAGGGGGCTAAGCTAGGCCAGCCCAGGCCACTGTAGGAGCCAGGGACAGCGTGGGTGTGACAACGCTGAGTGCCGCCAGACCCTGGGGCACAGAGACGGGCTGGGTGGCGCTGGCCAGCCCTCAGGCCAGGGTGGGGCGCAGAGACTGCTGTCGGTGTCATAGCTGTCACAGGGAACACGGACGAGCAGAGTCCACTGGAGCCAAGAGCAGGGCGGAGCACCAGTCCAGACCAGGCAGCCCCAGAGAACAAGGAGCACCAGTCCAAGCCACAGGCAGCAATGCAGGCTGGCTGGAGGGCAGAGGTCAAAGGGCAGGAGGAGGTGACAGTGAGACTAGAGGAGCCTGCAGGGCCAGGCTGAGCCAGGCCTCATAACCACGCAGCCATGCCAAGGGTGGGGGCCCCGACAGGATTTTAGCAGAGTCCAGCACCAGCAGCTTTGTTTGGCAAAGACCCCTCTGGCTGTGTGCAGGAAACAGGGAGAGAGTATGTATAGGTGGGGAATTCCGGAAGGCTTCATGGAGGAGGTGACTTGGAGTGAGTTTTGGGAGGAGTCAAGCTCAGGCAGCTCAGGAAGAGTGGGTCCTGCAGGAGGAAGAAGTGAGTAGATAAAGGCCCAGGAAGGAGAAATGGCAGGGAGAAAGACCTAGAAGCACGGTCATTTCTGAAGCACTCCCTTGGGGAAGTGGAGAAGTGGAAGGCCAGAGTGGAGGCAGGTTGGGCCCAGGTGCTCAGTCCTGGGAGGTGGGGAAGGGGAAGGGGTGGAGAGTCAGCTGCCCCCCGGCCAGGGCTCAGCCTGCTCACTCTCCAGGTCTGCCCACCCGGCCGGGATGCCAGCAGGGGTCAGCAGGTGCAGCAGGCCAACCACAGCTCTGCACCTTCCACCGCGAACTCAGACATGCAGGTGGAGGAGGGGTGCCAGGGGAGCCTGTCCCTGCCCCTCGAACTTCACTGGAAGGCCCCCAGGCTTGCTTCCTCACTCCCCTCCCTGCACCCCCAGCTCAGGCTTACCTTAGGGTCCACCTTCCCATGTGTTCCACACTCCACAGTGCAGACAATATGCCAGTGTCCCACCTGGGCACAGGGCAGACATTGCTAATCCACTGCAGACCTCACTAACCCCTTGCCACTATAGTGTCCATGTGCTCTGTGACGCTCAGCCTCGGAATCCTCCTTAACACAGCACCCCACTGCAGACCGACTGGAGCTACCTGCTCTCATTGATCGGGTCTGGTGGATCATTGTATAGAGGGGCAACTGAGCCCAGGGAGGGGAAGACTCCTTAGGGCCACAGGGGGACAAAGCTCGGCCAGGGTCCCAGTCTCTTCCTCATGCAAATCCTTCCCTCTGAGGAGCAGGCCTGGAATCGGCCTATCAGGGGCTGGTGGTGTGTAAAGATGCTACATAAACGAGGGGTCACCTCAACACCTCCACCCCCCAGCTCAGGGCACTGGAATGAAAGCTGCCTGGCCTGGTGCGTGAAGAGGCCACTCTAAGCCAGGGCATTGGAACACTGTCCCCGTCAGCACAAGGCCGGCCCCCCGCCCCGATGGCTGGGCACAGCCACTACTCACCACTGCTGGACCTCCTTCTCGGTAACTGCAAGAGAAAAGAGAGCGGCCTTTCAGTGCGGGGAGTGTCTGGGCTGGTGACCTTCACCGACCCTGCCGCCCTCCCACCCAGCAGCCAGCCTGCCCACGGCGGGCACTGGCCTGCCCGGGACAAACGCTGGGGCTGTGTGTCCAGGCTCCCCAGCAGGGACAGCACGGGCCCATCCCCGCCTGATACCCACTGCGCTGCCACTGCAAGGACCCCGGGAACCCTCTCCCACCTGGGGGTCCGCACCTCCCAGGAAGCCGGCATCTAGGATGCGTTCTTCCCATCTCCGTCCCTGGCCTGGCGGTCAGAGAAGGCGTGGCTTGCCCAGGCCCCCCGCTGCCCCAGCTGCACATTGGGGCCGGCCTGAGCCCCTCTTCGGCCAGCAGCACCCCCACCTACCCCTCCATGGCCCATCCCGCCGGGCCCTCTCAAGCCCAGTCTGGGTTCTTTTACTGGCAAGGCGTGGAAGAGCCACGAACCAAAAGCTTGGAACCATCACATCACACGGCAGAGCCGCAACCAGGTCCAGATAGTCATCCTCCCCTGAGCCGTGAGACAAAGTTTCCTCTGAAAGCACAGACCTGGTTCGGCGTGGAACCGAACCAGTGCTGTCTGCAGTCACTGAGGAGCACCAGACCGCCTGCGAGGCCTCGCTCGCCCCTGCCTGTGTGGTCCTGTTTCCCCACTCGTAAGGCAGGCGTGACGATGACAGGACGGCACCCGCAGAGCTATCCTGGGGAGCCAGCAGCCACAGGTGCGGACAGAGGGTGGAACCAGTGAGGGCCGCACGGGTGGAAGGCGGGTGTTGGGTAGTGACCGGGAGCACGGGCGCTGCTATTGGTCAGGGACGCCGGCAGGGAGGCCTGGGGTGTCTCTTGACGAGGCGGAGAAACCACCCAAAGCCAGCTGGTAACAACGGCTGAAGACCCCTGCAGACCGAAGTCCCCTGCAGACCGACGCCACCTGTAGACGCGTCTGCCCCAGGCTGGCCTCTTCCTCTGGCTTCGGCTTGGCCGCCCTTATGACAGCACAGGGGAGATAGCATCACTCTGCCAGGTCTCCGAGTGGGGACACAGGATGGAGAGACCAGGCGGTGGCAGCGTGGGGTTCAAACTCAGCCTGTGGCTTGGAACATGGGGAGCAGACCCTGCGTGGGCTCCAAGCCTCCAGCCCCCCTTGTCAGCCCTCAGCTCTCATGGGACCAAATGTGAGGCCGTGGAAGAGACCGTCAGGAGCAGGCCACTGGTCAGAAGAGCGAGGCACAGCAGGGAAGGCCACGGACACGGCTGCCCAAGACAGGGAACGAGCGGGGAACAGGAAGGCTTGCGGTGCAGAGGGAAGGCATCTAACCCAGGTGGGCTGCCTGGATCTTCCACCCACATCTGCTGTGAAGGGCAGTCAGAGTTGAGGGTCTGAGGCCACAAGCCTGAACCTGAAGACGTGGGTACCCATCGTGGCCTAGCAGGAGTCGCAGGGGCTGAGGGGCTTAGGGCCGCGGGCTCTGGGGCCAGACTGGATGGCTGGGGTGCTCCCCAGCCCCACAGCTTACTGGCTGTCCTTGGGCAAACTGCTCGCCCTCTCCAAGCCTCCGCGTCCACATCTGTAAAATGCGTTCATGGCAGATCCAAGGGCCTGCCTCTCGTCACCGTCACGAGAACCCCATAGGCAGCTGTGACCCCCGTCCCCCAGTGTGCAAACCGAGATTCAGCTGGATCTGCTTAGTTGTCACCTAAGGTCACCCCACAGGAAATAGCAGGTCTAGGACTGCCCAGGATGGACTCCCAACTGCCACCATCCCACCCTTCCTCGAGTCTGCCAACGAGTTGTATGACCTGTGTGACCTTGGCAAGGGACAGCATCGCACGATGGCAGGAGCTGGGTGGTGGGCCCAGGTAGGCACCCTCGCAGAGCTCCCAGCTCAGAAGTCCCAACTCCCCCCAACGTACCCCTAGTCCCCTAGCAGCCTTCTCCTGGGGCCTCTCTGCCCCAGCCCCGAACTCCCTCACCCACCAGGCCCAGGATGCAGCAATATGGCTGACTGCCCCTCCCCACCAGAGCTGTCCCCAACACAGAACACGTGATCAGCAGG